ATATTGTTGATAGACTCTTGTATTCCAAGACGCTCTGTATGGATGCAGTGCAGAAGTGGGGACAACAATATGATGTTCACAACCTTTTTGGATACTCTATGACCCTCTCAACACAACGGTGAGGAATCCTTCTTAATATCTTTGCAAAAAAGGGCAGAGTAGGCCATATGGCCTCTATTTAGAGAAACCGAGCAATTTCATTCCCCAGGGGATCTGATCTGGGGATCAATGGCAGTCTTCCCACAATGGGCTGAACCTGGGCATTCAAAACCGTGTTTTTTAAAATTGGAATTGAATTCTGAATCGACTCGTAGTGTTGGATTTCAGCGCCGCCGCTATGGGCAGAGAAAGCTGAAAGGAGACCTGAGCTTTATTATTTGGAGTACAAATATGACGAAGGTTGGCAAGCAAACACTTAGAGAGAGATTCTTTAAGGTGAATATATATATAATTAATTTAGTTAACAGACATCTTGTTAAACTCAAGGGAGTCTGTGTCCTTAGCTGATTTATCATTGTGATGGAATAAACGAAAAGGAATAGAAATTTGCCTTATACAAATCTACTTCTCTCCACAATTTTTTTTTTAAATCTTTTTGCCTAATTCCAGCCTTTTTTTACTTTCAGAGCCGTTGAAACTTTGTTTCCTGGAAAACGAAGCTTCCTTCTTTCGAGGTCTACTTTTGCGGGATCGGGAAAGTATGCTGGACACTGGCTGGGAGATAACGCAGCAACGTGGGACCACATAAAATGGGCGATACCTGGAATGCTGGAATTTGGCCTCTTTGGAATCCCTTATGTATGAAACCAGTCATTTATGGTACCTTTTCAAAACAAACCTGTATCCGTGATACCTGATCAAGCCTGATACGTATAAAACCATCTGAAAAAAAAAAAAGGCATATATAAATAATTATCTAAAAAATATTTCTAAATAAATGTATGAATAAATTATATAAATTACTATAATAAAATATAATATAATAAATTAATCATATAATAAATTATTCCCCTATAGTAAATTTTAATCCCCCTACAAATTAATCCCGTTAGGAGTTTGGTTTAAACTTTTTTTCCCCAGGAATAACTGATGTTAGCTTTAGGCCATTTCCCTTGATTGCTTATTGAATTTAGCGGGTATACGGTTATAAAAGACCTTATTTTGTATGTTTCCAGCCCCCTGATGCCTCTACTATTTGTCATTCATTAGCGATTGCTCAAGTGATTGATTTTAGTGATTGCTCTTTAAATGCGACAGGAACACCCACTTCTCAATGAAATGACCACTTCCCTTGTCAGGATTTGAATTCCTGTGACTTTTGGACTATTTCGCTAACGCATGCGTATTAGCACCAAACAGGAAGAAAAATCTCTGGGAGAAAGAGACCAAAGAGCAGTGTTAGCTTGTGCTCAGTTTCATTTTCTGTACTACCTGTATTTGAATTATTCTAACTCTGCGTGGGTAGGTGGTGGGCTGTAAAATTAATAGCAGAACTCTGATGTTACTGAAAAATCTGTATTTACCTGGCTACTTCTGCCGCAAAAGACATCTTAGAAACTTCAGAAATTCTGTGGTTCAACCAGAGGAAAATACAATGGGCAAATTTAGGTACGGATGAGAGCTTTGGAAGACTCTATGTAGAAATGAATTCTATGTTGAGTGACTCTATTACCCTGGTTAGCAACTAGGGATGAACTGAAAAAAAAAATCTCTGCAACTCAGTCGTTGAAGGTCTTTTGGTAGAGATTTGAGGTGTAACGCACCATACAACAACGCATTCTGTTTTTATTTTAAGATCGGAGCAGATATTTGTGGTTTCTTTGAAGACGTCACAGAAGAACTTTGCAGACGATGGATGCAAGTGGGAGCATTTTACCCATTTTCCAGGAATCACAATACTGAAAAACGCATAGTAAGTGGTACATCCTGCTATGAAAACTTGTTTTGTGGTACACCATCGCATTTCTATTCTGATAATTAAATTAAATTCTGATAATTAAATTTCTGTCACTGATCATTACATAGTTGACTGGTTTGAAACTGGTACAACCTTACGCTTTGGGAAATCCTCACTCCAGAAGGTTTAGCTTTGTAGGCACCGGAGAATGCATTTGGCATCATTTCATTTTCTGAAATCATCGTCTGACATCAAGTTTGGTCCCTGTTGGTGGTGTCCACAATGAGGATCAAGCGCTTGCTGCTATCTGACCTACTTTCCTGATTTTTGGCTGTACCCCTCAGTCGTATCCTGAATGCGCTGTGCAACAGCGATAATAATAACATTTATTTTCAGCTCCAGGATCCTGCTGCTTTTGGAGCTGATTCAGTTTTGGTGAAATCCTCAAAGCACTACTTGAATATCCGCTATACGTTGCTGCCCTACCTGTATACGCTCTTCTACAAAGCTCATACCCAAGGAGACACGGTGGCACGGCCAGTTCTCCACGAGTAAGTTGACCTTCACAATACTAGAACAAAATAATTCAGACAGGTCAAACACTGTTGGGGGTTTGCTAGAGCCATCCGTAGTTTGGGAAGGATGCTGCCCACCTCCGTGTGTACAGATGCCTACATTCACGAAACACCATTTTGGACTAACGGGGAGAGTCATCAAAACCCATCTGTAATTTCCGCACGCACACTGGTTTTACTGTTGGTTACAAAACGGCATTGGCAACTGATGGAAATTATTCTCCATTGGGTTATATATTTTAAAATTTTTATTTTCTCACCTTTATTTTCTTTATTTTCTTGAAACTCTTGAATAGAACTATATTAGGACTAGATGCCCCCAGAGACACTTATGCATATGCATAATTAATACATGCAAAATTAATAAGCTATGAATTTACTTTCTTAACTTCAGATTACCTCCACCAAAAATAGTCTTGGGGCATCACCGTTTGACGCTTCTCAATAGTTATTCTAGACAACTGAGACCTTGAAACATTAGGATTGCTCATGATAATATTAGTTAATATGTTATTAATCAGTAAGTGCAATTAATGCTGCTGCTTTCCTATTTGTTTAGGTTTTATTCTGATGAAGCAACGTGGAGTGTGGATAAGCAGTTCTTGTGGGGTCCTGGGCTTCTCATTACCCCTGTGCTTGATCCAGTAGGTCTCACTTTCTTGATGCCTTGTAATGAATTCACAGGGGCACCTCGAGTCACCAGTGACACTTTTTCTGCAGGAAATTGCAGTAAAACCCCAACAAGTTAAATTTCTCAACTCTCTATTCCCCTCATTCATTTGTTCCCTCGATTTGAAACTGCTTTTGAATTTTCTCTCTTATTCAGTCTTGGGATTGTTATTCAGCTTAAAAGTCGGAGCTCCCCTATTTAGGGCATATGTATTTCCCCTGAAATCATGCTCCTTCTCCATTTTCTAAGCTAAAAAAAAAAGAAAAACAGGGTCTTCCATTTCCCTGATGAACCTAATAAATTTGCTCTGGTCCCGTTTTAGCCTAAATTGTCTTGGTGAGAACTGGAAGGAGTATTCCCAAAGAGGCCCTTGTTCATTACCTTTAATATATCTCCAGTGGAAACACGTGTCTTAATGTAAACTTTTATTATATCCTTCTTTCATGCATATTAAATATCATTTTCTCTAATTTAATTTTCTCCTTAAATTCTCTTTTCCCCTAAATTTAATTTTCTACTTAAATTCCTTTTTCTCTTTAAATTTACATTTTTAGCATATTAATTAGATGCTTGTCTTTGGTCTTCTCATAAAGCTAGTTGGTTGGTTGTTGTTGTTTGTTTTTTTTTTTTCCTTCATTTGTTGCTCTCAGTGAAAGAGCCCACAACATAATTTTATCACTAAGTAGAAAATCTTGCCCATTTGTGCCATTATTCTTATATTGCTTTATTACTTCTCTTTTTCCATCCTTTGGGAATCTGATTCTTCTGCTGCAAAATTCTGCTTCACCTCCTCCTTGCATCACCTCTGCATTTCATTCAGACTCAGCTTCTTATCCGTCACTTGATTTCACTTTACCTGTGATTCATCAAGGCATGATAAAAAGACACGGATCGTTGTTTTTCCTGTTGCAAAATCTTGTACATAATGCTCATGAATTCTTGTACCACATACACTATTTGGAAGAACAAAGCATTTGTTAAATGTAGCAAATATCTGAAACAAGCCAATGTGGCAAAAGGAAAATTAAGAAGAGTTAATGATGCTTGTGAATACCCTCTGAGACGGTGCGTTTGCAGCATTTTAATTTTGGGTTACAAACAATGAGTTTCTCTCTTATGGCTTTGCTGAAATGTTATCTGGATTATTATCTTCCTTTTTGGGCATTGTCATAGAAAACTGTGAAAGAAAACCAAAAACTGAGGGGAAATATTGATAGTTTTCTCATTGTCAACTTTATTATGTTGGCTTATTTTCGCTGTATTTGTCTCCCCCCCCGGCCAGTTGAGGAGGGGGAGTGATAGAGCAGCTGGGTGGGCACCTGGCCGCCACCCAAGGTCAACCCTCCACATTGGATTAATGTAGGTTCGAATGTGAAAGTGATTTCTGTGTTCCCATTCCAGGGGGTGGACGTCATCCGAGCGTATATCCCTGATGCAGTCTGGTACGATTATGATTCGGTGAGTAGGATAATTGAGTGACTGTTTCTCAATGTCCAAGTGAGAAGGTCACATAGCTGTGGGTTGAGTTCAGGATTTAGGAAGACAAGGCTAAATGAAACCTTAAGCAAAGGGTGCGTGTGTGTGTGTGTGTGTGTGTGTGTAAAAAAAAAAAAAAAAAGAGAAATATAATATTACTAATAATGCACTATGGGGTTTGCCATTAACTCGTCCTAATGTAATTTCTGGAAATAAATTTCCCACTGTGGTCATGGCTTTAGTTGGTGGAAAAGTTTGCTTCAGACATCCCAGCAGGACTTGCTCTCACTGGGTTGATTATTAAATAAACAATCTGGTATAATAAGCTGAAATTAAATAATGAGAGTTACTGATTTATATATAGCATTGTATAGCATTCTGGTCTATGGTGGTTTGACTTTCGTGACCATCGGCAGCAATATGGATATTCACAGAGCTGGAACCTTTGACTAAAAGGAAGAATTAAGCTAAAACTCAGGCTTTAAGGCAGTGGTGAGTAATGCAACCTACTCCTCCTTTTTCATCCCTGTTAATTAGGGTGCAAACATCTGGTTGAGAAAACAGTGGACAGATATGTACCTTCCCGCAGACAAAATGGGGCTTCACTTGAGAGGAGGCTACGTCTTCCCTTTCCAACAGCCGGCCACCACAACAGTGGCAAGGTAAATCTCCAGACTGAACGTTTTCTCCACTAAATTGTTATGAAACGTGGTTTCAAGAATGGACTCAAGGCCACCTGGTTGCAGAAAAAAAAAGTAGCATTATTATCATCATCATCATCATTATAATTTTTACTTTTTATTAGTAGTATTAGCAATACATTATTACATGACAATATTACATTATGACTATTAGTATTTGTAGTAGTATTTGTAGTAGTATTATTTAGTAATATTTAACATTTGCACCTTGAAATTTGGGAATAACTGTCAGTCACCACTCACTGCCACAACTAATGACACAACATGTTTAATGATTAACCAGAGGTGGGGTTTTTTCGTGTAGCATTTTAATCTCGCTATGGATTTTATTCTGTTGCGTGAAAAATCATTGAACACGAAAACCTTGGACAGCCGGGGACTAATGCGAGACAATTCTCAAAGTTTTGAAACCCTGTTGAACGCTATAGTCTTAATATGAATATTAATGACTGCCTAGATATTTATTATACATTTAAAACTGTGTTTGTTTTTTTTTTCCCCACAGCCGTAAGAATCCTATGGGGCTGATCATTGCACTGGACGACAATAAGGAAGCAGTTGGAGAGTTATTCTGGGATGATGGAGAATCAACAGGTGAGCCTTTATTGACTGTCGTAGTGAAGCAGCAATAACAACCAAAATATTAATACTTGCAGATTTGAATTGTTGAACTGATTTCATGGAAGGAAGATAATTTTTTTTAAATTTAAAACATTTTTAAAATTTAAAATTTAAATATTTTAATTTAAAAAACTTAAAAATTTAAATATGTAAGAAGCTATTACTTCTTTTTCACCATCAAGTGGAAAAATGCAATCTTAATTTTTTTTTTTGCTTGTTCAGGTTTCACAATAGTCTTACATACGTAAAATTTTGCCAACTGTTAAACCACACTGTCACAATTCATATATTTTCTGTTATGCACCCAAACGAGTTTTAATGGGTACAAGAACACACATAATCCATGTTTCACAAGAAGATTCAGCTGAAGATGAAAAACTCGTACAGTTACTGAACGGTTTGGAATGAGTTAAATTCCTTGGGAAATCAGCAGAAATGTTGTTAACTCAAAAGGTGTGGTATTGAACCCAAAATTTGTTTAGGCATTTGGTTCCCACAGCATATCCGTGAATTTGAGTAAGTTGAACAGGCTACACGTGTTATGTTTCCAACCTCATTTTTTGTTAATAGCTGCCTGAAAACTTATTTTTCCGATCTAATAATCAGGCCAAAGCCCCTCAACCTCTTGTGATGGACTGGGATTGATACTACTCAACTGCCAAGTGTTTTTCTATCAAACAATTTACATCCTTTTCAGAAAAAAGTTTAGTGTAATACTAAGGTCATAACTTAATTCAACCCAAGTAAAAAAACTTGAATTTTAGGCTACATGCATTTTTCTTAGTGTGAAAATACCTTCAGAATACAGGTGTGTCTAAGAAAAGCAGAGGTGATTCCAGAGCAATGGAAAACCCTTGCCAAGAAAAATACTATGATTTTTTAATTTCAGTCTTAAGGTGAAGGTATTTTTGGAAAATGAAGAACCTTGAATTTTCTAAGGTATTTCTGAGGCTTCAGTTAGGCATCTAGTTTTCATTAGGTTCAAATAACTTTGGATACTTAAATCCTTCAGGTGCTTTTGAAGCCTTTGTCCTTCAATGTACTTTTTCTATAAAAGACAGCAAGCAGTTTAAACATTTATTCTGAAATGATTTTTGGGAGACATTTCATAAAACGCTCAAGCTTGTATTAAAGGTAGATTATTTTTTATTATTATGAATATATTATTACTATATTGTTACTATATTATTACATGATGATGATGATCACTTTTATTTGACAGATTTTATTGCTTTATTTGCAACCACCTGTAATATTAAGAGCAAAGGGCTTTGCTTTATGGCATATTCCTGTAAATGCTACTGCCTTTCAGGTGGACCTGATCTCTAATTCATATTCTATTATTTCCATAGGCTGCTGTGAATGGGAAACTTAATGGGGTTTTCCAAAAAAATGGGAAAAATATTGGAGTATTTGGCGATACTGAAATTGTGGATTAGAAACTAGGAGAAGTTCCTTAACCTTAGAAAGCAGACCAAGACAAATTACTAAAATACACCAAAAGTATATAGTAAAATGGCACATATTTGGCATTAATATATATTGGAGTCTATAGCCCTTCATCTAAGAGAAAAATAATTGGAAAAAGCCCAGTGGATCACGACAGACAGCTAGGAAAGGCTATCAAAAGTAACAAGAAATAGTTTTCTGAGGCCAGGAATAATACAAAAAAAGAAATATGCACAATGAAAGGGACAAAAATGGGCAGGTTAGGTGGCTTTCTGGCACCCCCAGCAGCATATAACATCACGACTCGGTAGGTAACTTCTGAACTTGAAAAAGACTACGAAAAAAATCAGGATTTCAGGAAAACATAGAAATATTGACACCCTGGATCAATTTGACAAAAGATTTGAATTGGCAGGATGCTAAGTACCAACACTTATTTTTCCCTCTTCAGAAATAATTAGGATTTCGTAGATTGTTGCCGTTTGTCCCGCAGCTGCTCAGTGGCTTAGCTTTTGAAGGTAACTGTAACGATAATAATTGGCATTTTTGGGGCCTTCTAGCTTTCCTTTTCTAATGCCATCTCATTCTGCACTGCAACTGTAATTTCTTTCTCCACATTTTAGGTACTGTTAACAGCAAATCCTACATTTCCTATGATTTTAAAGTTTCCAATGTAAGTATATATTTTTTTAAAGGCTCTAATTTTAATTTCCAGTTTTAATCAATAATACTTTCTATGGATATTCCTTTTTCCCCCTCCCTATTTTCCTAAAACATTTACTAAAAAATGAAGTATTTGACAAAGTCTAGGAGTCAAAGTATTGTCACTTAACCAAGATGGAAATCTGATACTTGTCTTTTCTTCCACTAATTATTTTTAATATCTGAAGATTCCCCAGTTCCTGCTACTTTGTAGAACACAAAAACAATGTTTGTAGAGTTTGTGACAATTTATAGAGCAGAAAAACTGTAAAGCATCAGTAGCAGTTAGGATAAGAAAGGAGATGAACGGATTGTTTGTGAGTCTCAAAAATTGGAAAAGTTGACAAAAATCTTTGTATATTGGAAAAAAAATGTAGCTGAATGTCTACAGCGAGAAAATGTCAGAACCCAGAGCATCTGTATCATGGTTTTTTATGGTAGTAAGAAAGTTTTATATTGGTGTATGTGACAGCCACTGCACAGTTTGAGAGGCTGGACTCATCTAATGTTATTAAATATAATTGAACAGAGCCTGGCTTTTCTATGTCAAGAAAAGTGAATGTATTATATGCATACATATATTGTGCATGTAATACAGAAACACACACAATACACATAACAATCATCTATATAGAACATAGAAAAAAATTGTCGCTTGTCAATTTAAATCAGGAGAAATTTTGGCAATTGAATGCAATTATTTCACTATTCCTCAGAACGTTCTACAAATGAATGTCACAAACAACAACTACGCTGATCCAAACAACCTGACGTTTGAAGAAATCAAAATACTGGGATTGCTCCAAGAACCAGTGTCGGTTACTGTGTTGCAGAACAACGATGTGCAAAATTCTTCTCATAATATCACCTATAATCCTGTAGATAAGGTAAATAATAACAGGAAAACTGGAATGAAACATCTCTGGAGTTGTACCGCCTGTATTTTATATACTGAAAAGGAGAGTAGTCAGTACTATGGTAAATGCCACAGTATATGCAATGTATTTTATTAAAAAGTACGATTACATTATTTACCTTAATAATAATGTTAATTATGTTAATAATCACGTTAATTACGCTAAAGAGGGTGGATTTTTATTTTGCCGTCAGACATCACATGCGACACAAGGTTTGTTTTTGCATTTATTTATGCAGGTGCATTCAATTTCTAAGGGGAGGAGCAGCTTTAGGATTGTAATTGATATTGTAGGAGGGTAAATAATATTTACATTTTTTAAACCACTTACATTTTAATTTAAAAAGGCTAAAGAGCCGTGCACTTATCTTCCCCCCAGTGTGCTTCCACGGGACTTGCGGGATCAGATCTTTTTCAGATCTTCTTTGCAGGAATTTCAGATGCGCGAATTTGTAAAAATAAGGGTGTCTCAGGAGAGATGCTAAGTTTGGCGGAAGTTGCCGCGTAGGGCAATTTCTTGTTTTTAAGGATCTGAAAAAAACATTGATGGGAGGTAGAAGTTAATAGTGCTTTATTGTTTAATATTTATAGGTTGCTCTCATAGAAGGACTCCAGCTCGAACTGGGAAAATCGTACTTATTAAGATGGACGCTAGGAACCACTGTCAACGAAAAATACAACTGTCATCCCGGTCCGAACGCTTCCAAGGAAAAATGTGAACAGCTCGGCTGTGTCTGGACTGTAAGCAAAAATTTGTGAAAACCAAATTGGGAAGAAGCAGGTTAAGAACTGTAACTTTATTTTTTGCATTTTTTTTTTCCACAAAAGAAACAGTCCCATTTATCCTTCTCTCTGAGAGAGAAGGACTTAGAAAAATAGGTGGTTTATTGAAACTAGTGTCATTTTCAACAACTTCTGGTCTTCTGAAGTATTTGAAAAATAGACCAAAAAGCTGGTATATTTTGAAAGATGGTAACAAATAATATTAGGGTTAGAAAAAGTAGAATAAACCTGAGATCACCATCTTGACGCAACTCTCTGCCACTGCAGCTGGGACTGCAAGGCTTTTTTGGTTTTTTGGGGGTGCTTTTCTGCTTTATCCTATTCTTATACTAATTGAAAAATAAGTAAATTGAAGTAAATAACAAAGAATAAATAAATAAATAGATAAATAAATTTAAATAAACCTGATTCCTCTGGAATCGAGCATAAGAAGAAATGCTTGAACGTCAGGGAAATTTTCAGCCTTCCGTGAACTTAACTGGTTGTGTCCCTGTCTATCAGATATGCCCAAATCATAATTCCTGATATTGAAGCTTTTTACCAGGTAGTTTTTATTTCTGGATATCACATGGCTGTAAACAGATGCCAGCATTGTGCCCTGATGGGAATGCTCTTTTGAGTCTTCCTTCAAATGACATTAGTCCATCTTTCCCAAAATCTTCATTTTAAAACTTGGACGTGTTGTCTCAGGATGAAGTTCTGGTAGCCACTCCTAAAGGAACAACAGGCTGAAATGGTTGAAAAATTTCCCTGAATTTGTCATGTTATTAGAAACATTTTTATAATTTAAGACATTTGGAAATGGCTCGTCAGCACATTCTGGTCAGGTATGAACTGGATATATTTAAAACCCCTTCTTAAGTCAAAAGAGGCTTTGAATTTGGTGATGAAAGATGAAAAAGTATTCATTAGGAATGAAGACGAGGTGAGCAGGCGTAGTTTAATCTTTACAAATAGGCAGGAAAAATCATAAATATTCAGAGGTCGGAAGATAATGCATTAACCAACATCAGCACATCTAACTGCAGAATAACTTGAGTGTTTATATTCAATTACAGAAGAAAAGGAAAGTTACTTTGACCTTGCTATCAGGAGATATTCAATAGATAAACCACAATTCCCAATGGGTATTTTAAAGATAATTTGTACGAGTAAAAAAATGTAAAAGCTGATGGAGAGCTCACATCTGACAGCGCTAATAAATATCCTCTTGTCCAAAACAGCCAGGGACCACAGACACTTAAAGGTCTTTTTTTGTGGGATTGAGGTGAAGGTCATAGACAGAGGGAATACTAGATCATTGTCACTTTATAATGATACAGACAGGACTGAACAGCCTTGAATTAATTAATTATAGCTAAAATAGTATAGAGATCAGTGGGTTCAGCACTGCTTCTTTATTGTTCAGTAACAGCATGAAGTTTTGGGCAAAATTCTACGTTAACTAGTTATCTGGTA